TGGATAAGGACTGACCAGAGCCAGGGCCTCGCAGACGCATCAGCCCCGGAGGCGCTGACTCAGAGTCAGGTGTGCAGTGCCCTATGTGTCCTTCCTCCGTGGGCACAGCCGGGCCCCACCTGCCATCCCGTCCACCGGAGCCAACACCACCAGCCTCGCCCCCCTGCCAGGGAGCCTGGGGCAGAGGTCAGAGCCCACCGCAGCGGTGAGCGTGCGTTAATTCCGGTTCCTGCGAAGTCCGTCCGGCCCCCCAGCCCAGAGCCCCCCCCCCCCCGTCTGTCCGGACCCCCAGCCCAGAGCCCCCCGCCCCCGTCTGTCCGGCCCCCCAGCCCAGAGCCCCCCGCCCCCGTCTGTCCGGACCCCCAGCCCAGAGCCCCCCCCTCCCCGGTCTGTCCGGACCCCCAGCCCAGAGCCCGCCCCCCGTCTGTCCGGACCCCCAGCCCAGAGCCCCCCCCCCCCGTCTGTCCAGACCCCCAGCCCAGAGCCCCCCCCCCCCGTCTGTCCGGCCCCCCAGCCCAGAGCCCCCCACCCCCGTCTGTCCGGCCCCCCAGCCCAGAGCCCCACCCCCACCCCCCGTCTGTCCGGACCCCCAGCCCAGAGCCCCCCCCCCCGTCTGTCCGGCCCCCCCGCCCAGAGCCCCCCCCCCGTCTGTCCGGCCCCCCAGCCCAGAGCCCCCCCCCCCGTCTGTCCGGCCCCCCAGCCCAGAGCCCCACCCCACCCCCCGTCTGTCCGGACCCCCAGCCCAGAGCCCCCCCCCTCCCCGGTCTGTCCGGACCCCCAGCCCAGAGCCCCCCCCCGTCTGTCCGGACCCCCAGCCCAGAGCCCCCCCCCGTCTGTCCAGACCCCCATCCCAGAGCCCCCCCCCCCCCCGTCTGTCCGGACCCCCAGCCCAGAGCCCCGCCCCCCCCCCCCGTCTGTCCGGACCCCCAGCCCAGAGCCCCCCCCCCCGTCTGTCCGGACCCCCAGCCCAGAGGCCCCTCCCCTCGGTCTGTCCGGACCCCCAGCCCAGAGGCCCCGTTTCAATCCTCTTATCACAGAGCAGGTATTTGAAGCTGACCTGGGGCTGCTGCTAATGCGATTGTTTTGGTCTCTGGTTAAAGCCGATTTGGCACACAGCTGGGGTACGGGTCCCAGGAGTGTTATCCTCTGTCCACATCCCCCCCCACTGTCCCCCACTGCCCCTCACTACCCCCCACTGCCCCTCACCTCCCCCCACTGCCCCTCACTGTTCCCCACTGCCCCTCACTACCCCCCACTGCCCCTCACTACCCCCCACTGCCCCTCACCTCCCCTCACCTCCCCCCACTGCCCCTCACTGCTCCTCACCCCGCCACTGCCCCTCACTGTCCCCCACTACCCCTCACTGCTCCTCACCCCCCCACTGCTCCCCACTACACTCACCTCCCCCCACTGCCCATATAGGGGTGCTGGGCAGTTGCACTGAACCTCACCCCAATCATTCAACAGTTCAACAGTTGGATTTCAGTAAGTTTGTGTAACCGTAACCAACGGTGCTAGGCTATTTTTACAAAATATATTTTTATTGATTTTTAGAGGGAGAGAGAGAAACACCGATGAGAGAGGGACGTGGATTGATTGGCTGCCTGCTGCATGCCCCCACTGGGGACCGAGCTCAAAACCCAGGCCTGTGCCCTGACCAGGCACTGAACCTTCTATCCTTCATTTGTGGGTGGACGCCCAGCCACTGAGCCACACAGGCCGCTGGGAGACCGTGCTGGGTTCCGGAGACAAAGCCGGGCCCCCGAGGCTGCTGTGATTTCGCCCACTCTCCGGCCATTGTCTGCGGCGGGGCCCAGGTGCCACGGTTAACACTGCCCTCGCCCTCCATTTCTGGCGTTTTCTCCCTCTTCTGGGTAACGGGAGCGGAGAGAACAGCCGGCCTGGCGTCGGCTCAGGCTGGTGCTGCTCTCGGCTCCCCTCCCTCGCTGACCAGATTGTGTCAGGATTAGGGGGCGGATGGCTCCACAGATCCAAAGTTCAGGCAGCTTGTGAGCGCCAGGCACGGCCAACTCCCGTGACCAACGGCAGAGTGGCACGGCTCCCGGCTGGCAAGAGCCCCCGAGCCGCGTGCCGGGCAGAGCCTCATCAGCGGGCGAGAAGACACGCACAGACACACGTGTTACAGAACACGCGGCCCCTCTGCCACGCGGGTCTGGCTCTCCGTGCTGCTCGGGCACCTCACTCACCCAGCACCCATCGGCATGGTGACCCTGGCTCCCTGCCCGGGACTGCTTCTCCCCTCACGCTTGGCGCCCTAAACCCTGGTCACAGCTGCTGCCATGAAGATCTGTGGCCGAGAGGACACTGGAAACAAATGCTATTTAAACCCATGAGGGCGCAGAAACCGGTTTGGCTCAGTGGATTTAGCGTCCGCCTGCGGACTGAACGTCCCAGGTTCGATTCCAGTCAAGGACACATACCTTGGTTGCAGGCACATCCTCGGTAGGGGGCATGCAGGAGGCAGCTGATCGATGTTTCTAATTCTCTATCTCTTTCCCTTTCTCACTGTAAAAAAATCAGTAGCCCATTTGCCTTTTTGCCTCTAAGATAACACAGCTGTGAGATGTCTGGGTAACTTGTAACTTCCTTTTTACCGCGACCCCTCAGGGCACAACCCATGGCACCTGGGGGTTCCCTCATTGTTATTGTTATCAAGTTAATTGTCAGCTGTTAATCCGTCTCTGTAAAAGAAGCTCACGTCCATCATTTCACCTTTCACCTATCCCAGAGGTTTCCTGCTTCGCTCTGTCCCACCTCCCTAATCCATCACCAATGAATTTCATGTAACCACCTACGTCCTTTCCTTTGATTGCAATGTATAAATACAGATGTAACCCTGTATTCTCCGGAGCATTATCTCATTTCACTGAGGTTTTGCTTCCCGGCATATGCCGACAGTTTGGCTCAAATAAACTCACAAAATTCTTTACAGGTTTCAGTGGTTTTTTCGTTAAGGGGATGCGCAGGAGCTGGCAGGGGTCTGTAACAGCCACATGGGTGGCTGAGAAGGGACCGCAGTCCACGTGGCCTTCTTTCCGTGCTGTGTCTGATGTTGGGACGTTGTGTGGTCTGTGTGAGAGGCACCATCACAAATGATAGCACGTACATGATATGACTGCGCTGTAACCTCTCCCGTGCATTTATCCTATCGATTCCTTTGTCCCGGCGGACGCATTTGAAATTCATGGCTTATCGCCTGAATACGGCTTTATGTTTTAAACCATTTCAGAGCAGATTTCCTCCAAATTGAAACGGGTCAAGTCCGCCCCAAGAACCACCGTGTGTGCACAGGGGGCGAGGTTAACGTTAAGGCGGCGTCCTGGTGGTGATACCATGTTAGCGCGATTGCTAAACAAAGGCAACAAACAACCTCGGAGAAAACCAAAATTAATTTGTCTCCATAACGTTCCCGCCCAGAAATCCCAGCAAGCAAACCCCGAGGCCTGCGTCTGGCCACCTCCGATCTGGGGTCCCCGCTCCCGTTTCTCTCCTCAGGCAGCACAGCTGTCCGAGTGCAAGGAGGCACCGGGGCAGCTTATTTCACGTTTACGCCCTTCGGTCCATGCACACAGGCCTCTCCCCCCTCCGTCCCCGCACCGAGCAGAGAGGGGGTGCAGGGCACAGAGAGGGGGTGCAGGGCGCACAGAGGGGGGTGCAGAGCACACACAGGGGGTGCAGAGCACACAGGGGGTGCAGGGCACAGACAGGAGGGTGCAGGGCACAGAGACGGGGGGGGGTGCAGGGCACAGAGAGGGGGTGCAGGGCGCAGAGGGGGGTGCAGAGCACACAGAGGGGGTGCAGAGCACACAGGGGGTGCAGGGCACAGAGAGGGGGTGCAGAGCACACAGGGGGTGCAGGGCGCAGGGGGGGTGCAGAGCACACAGAGGGGCGTGCAGGGCACAGAGAGGGTGCAGGGCACAGAGGGGGTGCAGGGCACGGAGGGGGGTGCAGGGCACACACAGGGGGTGCAGAGCACACAGGGGGTGCAGGGCACAGACAGGAGGGTGCAGGGCACAGAGACGGGGGGGTGCAGGGCACAGAGAGGGGGTGCAGGGCGCAGAGGGGGGTGCAGAGCACACAGAGGGGGTGCAGAGCACACAGGGGGTGCAGGGCACAGAGAGGGGGTGCAGAGCACACAGGGGGTGCAGGGCGCAGAGGGGGGGTGCAGAGCACACAGAGGGGCGTGCAGGGCACAGAGAGGGTGCAGGGCACAGAGGGGGTGCAGGGCACGGAGGGGGGTGCAGGGCACGGAGGGGGGTGCAGGGCACGGAGGGGTGTGCAGGGCACAGAGGGGGGTGCAGGGCACAGAGGGGGTGCAGGGCGCAGAGGGGGGTGCAGAGCACACAGAGGGGGGGCAGAGCACACAGGGGGTGCAGGGCACAGAGAGGGGGTGCAGAGCACACAGAGGGGGTGCAGGGCGCAGAGGTGGGGTGCAGGGCGCAGAGGGGGGTGCAGAGCACACAGAGGGGCGTGCAGGGCACAGAGGGGGTGCAGGGCACAGAGGGGGTGCAGGGCACGGAGGGGGTGCAGGGCACGGAGGGGGGTGCAGGGCACGGAGGGGGGTGCAGGGCACAGAGGGGGTGCAGGGCACGGAGGGGGGTGCAGGGCACGGAGAGGGGTGCAGGGCACAGAGGGGGTGCAGGGCACGGAGGGGGGTGCAGGGCACGGAGGGGGGTGCAGGGCACAGAGGGGGTGCAGGGCACGGAGGGGGGTGCAGGGCACGGAGGGGGGTGCAGGGCACACAGAAGAGATGCAGGGCACACAGAGGGGTGCAGGGCCAGGAGCACCTGGGCAGCGATGGGCGGGGCTGGGTGTTGGGGTCCCCGCCCCCCTCCTGCGCGGGGATTGGCTGCCGGCGGGGGCGCGGGCACAGGCCGGGCTCGGGTCGCGGGGCGGCGCTGCGGCCAGTCCCCGCCTCCTGCAGCCGCGGTGCTCGGCTGCGGCCCGGTCCGGCCTCGGGGAGCGGGGTCACGGGGCGCAGGAAGCGGCGGCGCGGGGAGCGGGCTCCGGGCACCGACACCGGAAGCGGATCCGCTGCTGAGTAATCCCGGCGGGAGGCCCGCTCCGCGCGCCGCAGGCGGAGCCGGACCGGACCGGGCCCGCAGCCCCATGGCCGGCGCCGGGCCCCCGCGGCGGGAGGACGCGGAGCCGGCGGCCGGGCCCCCGCAGGACGCGGAGCTGGCGCTGGCCGGCATCAACCTGCTGCTCAACAACGGCTTCCGGGAGTCCGACCAGCTCTTCCGCCGGCACAGGTGCCCCCGCGCCCCCTCCGCCCCGGTCCCCGCGCCCCTTCCAGCCCCGGCCCCCGCGCCCCCTCCGCCCTGGTCCCCGCGCCCCCTCCGCCCCGGTCCCCGCGCCCCCTCCGCCCCGGTCCCCGCGCCCCCTCCGCCCCGGTCCCCCCGCGCCCCCTCCGCCCCGGTCCCCCCGCGCCCCCTCCGCCCCGGTCCCCCCGCGCCCCCTCCGCCCCGGTCCCCCCGCGCCCCCTCCGCCCCGGTCCCCCCGCGCCCCCTCCGCCCCGGTCCCCCCGCGCCCCCTCCGCCCCGGTCCCCCCGCGCCCCCTCCGCCCCGGTCCCCCCGCGCCCCCTCCGCCCCGGTCCCCCCGCGCCCCCTCCGCCCCGGTCCCCCCGCGCCCCCTCCGCCCCGGTCCCCCCGCGCCCCCTCCGCCCCGGTCCCCCGCGCCCCCTCCGCCCCGGTCCCCGCGCCCCCTCCGCCCGGTCCCGCCCCCTCCGCCCGTCCCCGCGCCCCCTCCGCCCCGGTCCGCTCCGCGGGCTCCGGCCGCCCCTCCGCCCCCGAGGCCCCATCCCGGCCCGGGCCCGCCTCCCCCTCGGCCCGGGCTGCAGCGGCGCCGCGCCCCGCCCCCGGCGGCCTCTCTCCCGGACCCGCGGCCTCCCCGCCTCCTCGCCTCGCCTCTGAGGGGCGCCCTCCCGGGTCCGGGCGGTGTGACCCGCCCCGGTGCCCCCGCAGCTTGTGGGCCCGGAGCGCCGACCGCCGGGGCCTGTGCGCGGCGTCTGCGCCCCGCGCCCCGCCGTCCCGCCCTTCCCGGGCCTCTCCTCCGGGGCGGCGGGGGCGAGCCCGCGGGAGGGGGGAGGGGGGGGGGAGGGAGAGGGGGGGAGGGGGGCCGCACGTGCGGAGTCCGGCGCGGTCCGCGGGGGGGGGGGGGGGGGAGGCCGGGATGCGCCCGCGGCCTCGGAGGCGCTCCTTCCCGGTGCGCTCCCGGGTCACGTGCCTCCGCTGGAGCGGGAAGGTGTGCGGGAGGGGGAGGGGGAGGGGGAGGGGGGGAGGGGCTGCAGCGCCCGCAGCTTTTCAGGCTCCTGGGGCACACTCTGCGGCTGATGGCACAGGCTGATGGCACAGCAGAGCGCTCGCCCTGCACTCCCCACCAAAGACCCGTTTCCTCCGCGCAAGTCTCTTAACCTGGAAACAGAACTTCTCAGCGTGACGCAGACCTTTCACCTTGAAAGCGCACCGTCCCGTCCCGTCCAGGCTGATGCCGAGCAGACACCGTCCCTCTCGCAGGATGTGTGGCCCCGAGAACACTGTCATGAAAAAGGAGCGAAATCTGAGTGTCTGTACCTGCTCCCACCTTCCTCCCTGCTCTCAGTCCTCCCCCCCAGGGGGCCCCCTTAGAGAGTGGGAGGGAGCGGGAAGGGAGAAATTGAGGACCCAGGTGGGTTGCCTCTTGCAGGAGACCAGGGCCCTGGCAGGGAGGAGCCTGCCACCCAAGCACGTGCCCTAGAGGGGAATCGAACCCAGGACCGTTCAGTCCACAGGCGGACACTGTCCACGGAGCCAGGCCAGCGGGGCCCGTGCTTTTCTTCTTTGTGTGGCAGAGGGAGGCTGGAGTGGATCCTCTGTGGCTGCTGACCGACACCTTCTTTGTGTGTCTAGACACCACTTACTCTGAACTGTCCTCGGCTGCTTATTTTTAGCAAGAGGCCTGGTGCATGGATTCCTGCACGGTGGGGTCCCTCGGCCCGCACCCTCTCGTAATCCGGACCCTCAGGGGGTGTTGGAGAGCCGGTTTCAGCCCCATCCCCCAGGCCCGATCCAGACAAGAGGGAGCCCAGTCCAGTGCATTAAGCATCTGTCCCTGGTGGTCAGCGCACATCATAGTGACTGGTCATTCGGTCGCTGAGGCTTTTGTATAGAGAGATGATCATTTTTTCTGAACCGCCTAGTATTCTATTACTTGTGTATGACCCTGGTTATTGTCTCCTGAAGGCGCGAGATACCTGTTTCTGTGTTACGTTTTGTCCAGGCGGTTGTGTGCACAGGTGATGAGGGCAGGTGGTGAGTTTCAGGAAGACTTTTCCACAGCTCCCGCAGAGAGCACCTTGAGAGGTGTTTCTGGGGGGGTGAGTCTGTGAGGGGGTGAGTCTGGGGGGGTGAGTCTGTGAGGGGGTGAGTCTGGGGGGGGGTGAGTCTGGGGGGGTGAGTCTGTGAGGGGGTGAGTGGGGGGGGTGAGTCTGTGAGAGGGTGAGTCTGTGAGGGGGTGAGTCTGGGGGGGTGAGTCTGTGAGAGGGTGAGTCTGGGGAGGGTGAGTCGGGGGGGTGAGTCTGTGAGAGGGTGAGTCTGGGGGGGGTGAGTCTGAGAGGGTGAGTCTGGGGGGGGTGGTCTGTGAAGGGTGATCAGTCTGTGGGTGAGTCTGTGAGAGGGGAGTCTGTGAGAGGGTGGTCTGGGGGGGGGAGTCTGGGGGGGGGTGATTCCGGGGGGGTGGAGTCTGGAGAGGGGTGAGTCTGGGGGGGGGGTGAGTCGGGGGGGTGAGTCTGGGGGGTTGAGTCTTGAGGAGTGTTAGTCGTGTTGGGGGGTGCGTGGTCTGTGGGGTTGAGTCTGCTGAGGGGGTGAGTCGGGGGGGGGGTGTGATTCGTGTTATTGTTGAGTCTGTGAGGGGGTGAGTCACTGGGGGGGGTGGTTGTGGGAGGGGGTTGGTGTGGCGGGGGGTGGAGTCTGGTGTGTGTGGAGTTTGTGATGTTGAGTGGGGGGGTGAGTCTGTGAGGGGGGGTGAGTCTGTGGGGGTGAGTCTGGTGAGGGGTGAGTGTTGGGGGGGTGTGCTCTGGGGGGTGAGTCTGTGAGGGGGTGAGTCGGGGGGTGAGTTGTGGGGGGGTGGAGTCTGAGGGGGTGAGTGCTTGGGGGGGGTGAGTCGGGGGGGGGTGAGTCTGGGGGGGAGTCTGTTGAGGGGGGGGAGTGGGTCGTGATGTGGGTGTGAGTGGGGGGGTGAGTCTGTGGGGGGGTGAGTCTGGGGGGGGGTGAGTCTGGGGGGGGTGAGTCTGGGGGGGTGGTGGGTGAGGGGTGAGTCTGTGGGGGGGTGAGTCTGTGGGGGGGTGAGTTGTAGGGGGGGGTGAGTCTGGGGGGGGGGGGGGGTGAGTCTGTGAGGGGGTGAGTCTGTGAGGGGGGTGAGTCTGGGGGGGGTGGCGGTCTGTGGAGAGGGTGGAGTCTGTGAGGGGTTGGTCTGGGGGGGGTGAGTACTGGGCGGGTGAGTCGTGAGGGGGGTGAGGTCCTTGAGGGGGTGAGTCTGTGGGGGTGAGTCTGTGAGAGGGTGAGGTCTGTGGGAGGGGTGATTCTAGGGGGGGAGGGTGAGTCTGAGTGAGAGGTGAGTCGTGAGGGGGGTGAGTCTGTGAGAGGGGAGTCTGGGGTGTGAGGTCTGGGGGGGTGAGGCTGTGACGTCTGGGGTGAGTCTGGGGGGGGTGTGAGTCTGGGAGGGGTGATCTGGGGGGGGTGTAGTCTGGGGGTTTTGTGGGGGGGAGAGCGGGGGAGCTGTCCGGGAGGGTTTGCATTTTGTTTCTCGGTCACAGTTGACATGTGATGTTTGGTGCGCTGTAGCGGACACTTGCGTACGGTACGATGGGACCCCCTACAGGCCCCGCACGGCGAGGCTGACACCGCGAGGTGATCGCAGCCCTGGCTGTCCTTGTCCGCTCTGTTTGGAGGCGGGCCCGGAAGATGAGGGAGGAAGCCGGGATCGGCTGTGCTCTCTGCCACGTGGACAGGTTTCCGTGTGCCCGGTGTCCTGGGCGGGGCTCCAGGGGTGCGTGTCCCAGGAGCCTCCCTCAGGGACTGTCCGTGCCCGGCAGGGCTCTTCCCGTCGCCCACGTTGGTCCGGTTTGCACTTTGCCCTGCGACCTTGTTTCCCAGTGGCTGCTCCGCCTTCGGGGAGGACCGGGCCCGGTGTCCTCGGCATTCCCGGCTCAGCCCGTCTGCCGCTTCGGAGGGGCGTGTCTGGGTGGGCCCGAGGGGAAGGAGGAGCCCTGGGAGCCGGTGCAGGGCAGAACCGGGCACACGCTGGCTCTTTGTCCCGCAGCCTGCCCGCCCCTCGTGCTCTCTGCGGACCATGCAGTTTGCGTGGGAGATGGAGTCCGTGGAGGCTGCTTTGGCGTTAAAGTTAGCTGCCGGCGTGGCCCAGCGGGCGGGGCCTCCGCCTGTGCACCCAAGATCGCTGGCTCGGTTCCCAGTCAGGGCGCGTGCGGGGTTTCAGGGCCTGGTCCCCAGGAGGGAGCGTGCAGGAGGCAGCTGGTCTAGGATTCTCTCCCTCTCTCTCTCCCTCTCCCTCTCATTCCCCTCCTCTCCTCTCCCTCTCCTCTCCCTCTCCTCTCCTCCTCTCCCTCTCCCTCTCCCTCTCTCTCTCTCTCCCTCTCCCTCTCTCGTTTCTTCCTCTCCCTCTCCCTCTCCCTCTCTCTCTCTAAAATCAATATTAAAACACTAAAAAGTAACGTTAGCCTCCCTGTGGCATTAGGAACTGCTGTCCCCTCGGTGCCTGGCTGTGCAGGACTCCGCGGGGAGGATGGGGGGTCAGGATCCCGGAGAGAGCAGGGTCCCCCTCTCTCTGGCTTCCAGGATCCTCGTGAACCTACGGGATCCCACTGCCCCGCTGTGACGGGAGCCCTGTCAGGGACAGGACGTTTTATTGGAGGAGGCTCCTCCACCGTGGCGAGGAGGGTGGGCGTCCAGCTGCCCGTGAGGAGCGGCCCCTGCGCAGGAGCCAGCGCCCCGGCGGCCACTCTGAGTCCCTGGGGAGTGAACACGGTGCACAGCGGAGGCTCTGCCCTCGGGGGATCGCACATGCAGCCGCCATCCCCGTCATGCGGCCGATGCTGAGCCCCCAGCATGGGGTCCGGAGGCGGGGCCGCCTGCCCAGGCCCTGCTGCCTTTCCGAGCTCAGGCTGCCCAGCACCGGCCCCGCCCCTGGCCCTGGCCTCAGCTCAGCGCCCGGCCACGCTCACTGACACACGCCCACGCCTGCACGGCGGCCGTCTGTGCCGGGACGCCCGGGTGTGCCACGGACAGGAGCGGGCGGGGGCTGGAGACTGCCGGGGCTGAGCCGTGGGGGCAGCCTGCAGCCCAGCCAGCACCAGCGAGCACGCCCGGTGGGAGTGAGGGAGTGAGTTTCACGGGGAGGAGGGGGAGGGAGGAGGGGAGGAGAACAGGGAGGTGGTGGCAGGTTCTCGCCGATTCCTGCCGTAGATATGGATAACGCCGCGTCTTGTCGTGTCAGCTGAGACAGGAAGCATGTCGCGGTTACAGTGAGTGTTCTCGGAGGAGAAATGGCATGAAAGGACGGAGTTAGTGCCTGGTCGGTGCTGTGAATTGCGATATTTTTCTTTTTCACTGCACTTGACGAACATGGCAGCAGTGTATTCAAAGCAAGAAAAACGGGTGCCCTGGCCGGTGTGGCTCAGTGGATAGAGCGTCGACCTGCAGACGGAAGGGTCCCAGGTTCGATTCCGGTCAAGAGCAGGTACCGTGGTTGCGGACACATCCCCAATGGGGGGTGTGAAGGAGGCAGCTGATCGATGTCTTTCTCTCATCGATGTTCCTACCTCTCTATCCCTCTCCTTTCCTCTCTGTAAAAAAAATCAATAAAATATATATTTTAAAAAGAAAGAGAAATGGATGGTCAGCAACGTGTGTGTATTTAACATGAAGACCTGGGTCCTCAGTCGTCCGGCGCTGTCTGTGGCACATGCTGCCGGCGAGAGGACGGAGCAGCCTCTGGGGACGCAGCCTGCGCCCCGCAGAGCCGGGCTGGGCTCAGCGCCCTCGGGCGGGGGCGGGGTGTCCGTGGCCGCTGTGTGGCACCCCAGCCCTCGCCCCGCCAGGCTGTCCCCATCCCTTCCTTGTTGCTCAAGAGTTTCAGAACCTCCGGGCGGCAGGCGGGACACAGGTTCCTCATCCAACAGGAAGCGTCCGTTACTGCCGGGAGCGGCCGGGGCGGGACTCGGCGAGGAGCAGGTCCATCCTTCCCCAGGGGTTCTTGCTTCACATTTACCTGTTCTTATTTAACACGTGTTTTATTGTTGGTGGTATTGCAGATGCCTCCCCCTCCCCCCCACCCCGCCCCCAGGTCTCCACCTGCCTATTGCCCATGGCCGTGCCTGCAAGTCCCCCAACCCCACCCAGAGGCAGCCGGTCTGTCCCCCGCCTCCTGCTTCCGGTCTTACTATTTATTCATTTATTCATTGATAGTCCTCACCGGAGGATGTTTTCCATTGGCTTTTAGAGAGAGAGTGGAAGAGAGAGGGAAGGACAGAGAGAAACATCGAGGTGAGAGAAACACATCGGTCAGCTGCCTCCTGCACGCCCCCTCCTGGGGATCGAGCCCAACACCTGGGCATGTGACTGACTGTGAATAGAAGCTTGGCCTCCTGGCTGGCTGCTGGTCCATTCTCCACGCAGAGCCTCACGGGCGGGCTGCGGGCGGGCAGCGCGCGGGCTGGCTCGAGGCTGCCCATAGTGTGTGTGGTTTGGACGACATCTGAGTCGCTGTCCGTGCTGCTCCACCTGCTGTTGGCGTTTGTGGAGATGATGGAGGCGTGACTTTAGAGAAGGAACAGATAGAAATCGAGCCCTCGCTGGTGCGGCTCAGTGGATAGAGCGTCGGCCTGCAGACTGAAGGGTCCTGGGTTCAATTCCAGTCAAGGGCACAGGCCCGGGTTGTGGGCTCGATCCCCAGTGTGGGGCATGCAGGTCAGTGACTCTCATCATTGATGTTTCTGTCGCTCTCTCCCTCTCCCTTCCTCTCCGAAATCAGTGGGGAAAAGAATTTTTTTAATGTAAATCTTCTGCCCACCCCTGATCATACCTCCTCCTCTGCTCATCCCTCTGGGATGTCCTGCCTTTTGGCCTTGGGAACAGGGTCTGTCCGTCCGGTGTCTGATGTTGTTTTCAGTTTCCACGGGAAGGTTAATACGTTTAGAAACAGTCAATTGCTTCTTTGTATTCTCAGCAGCTTTTCTTCGGGAAAGTCCTTACACAGAGAGAGAAAAAACAGCCATTTCTCCAAAGGAGAAATCAGAGGGCTCCAAGGACACAGGGGGAGCTTTTTCATATGTTTGCTTGTGTCTTCACTGTTTATTTTGAAGAAGAGCCTACATCTTCCAAAGCACGTGACCTTGTCTGGTCGATCCCGTGTCCCATGTTCCCACAGGACACGTGTTACCGTGTAGTTCAGAGGTTGGCAAATCCCTTCCTTCCCGAAGGCGGCTCTGGCTGCTGGCCAGTCCCGTTTAGGACGTGGTTGTGACGGACGGCAGAGCGGGCGGGCCCCTTACATTGGACGGGGATGGTGTGATTTGGTTTCCGATTTGGCTCACACGGGGACAGGGAGTGGCCGGGCGCTGGGGGAAGGGGAGGGGGAGGGGGGCGGGGATGGCTGACTCTGAGAGTTGTTTGGGAGAGGGGTTTGAGGGGGGTGGACCATGGTGAAACCCTGAGGATGGTCCTTGTTTCATGTGCATAAAGTTTAGAACACATTTTGCCTTTTTTTTTTTTTTTTTTACTTTAAAAAATATTTTTATTGACTTTGAGAGAAGGGGAAAGGAGGAATAGAGAGATAGAAACATCGATGAGGCGAAGTCATCAATGGGCTGCCTCCTGCACACCCCCGACCGGGGATCCAGCCCACAACCGGGCCTGTGCCCTGACCAGAAATTGAACTGTGACTCCTGGTTCCTGGGCCAGTGCTCAACCACTGAGCCACACTGGCTGGGCATGTTTTCATTTTTAATGAAATGCTTGATGAATGTCAATCGCCTCGGTTTGGGCATGTATTTGCAGATGGCGGATGGTGGGTTGGCTCACAAAGGCAGCCTCTCTTAGGATTTGACTTTCTCGTCCCCGTCATACCCCCCTCCCCCGCCCCACCCCGGCTCTGACGGAGGGGGCGGGCCGATGCGGCTCCACAGACCGACGGGGCCCCCCCTGCGTCTCTGACTTCCTCTCAGGGCAGCGCCACCTGCCGGAAGCCCTTCCCTTCTCCCCGTCATGGGGACCGGGTCACGACCCCCGCCGAGCGAGTGTTGTTAATTATTCCTGTTCTGTTTTCTTACAGGAATCACAGCCCCTTAATGAGCTTTGGAGCCAGCTTCGTCAGCTTTCTGGTAGGTAGGCGTGGGGAGAGAGACTGCGTGAGGCGGTGAACATGTAACGTGTGTTTCCGTGGCTCCTGCCTGTGTGGATTCATGGTGGTGAAGGACCCTTTGGAGTTCTGCCGGAGTGTGTTTCTCAGCATCTCCAAGGGGCTCAGGAGTCTGGAGAAGGGGCTGCTCTAAATTATTAGAGTCCAGAGACGAAACATACTTTGGGAAGGCATTTTGGGGGCAGGAGAAGACTTAGCTGAAGGAACCAAATCCTCCTGTCTCTCTGGACCCCTTGCTTTTTATTAGCACATGTCCTAAAGCTAGGTGGACATACAGATCAAAGGGTAAGGTTTGGTATACGGAATCATTGTCGGATTGGGGAAACCGCCTACGGCTGTTCAGGTGTTTGGCCAGCAGGAGGCAATAGCATGCAGATTGGAATGCCCTCAGCTGTCTGGCAGCGAGCAATCATCCATGCAGGTGTTTAGATGAGGGGAAACGCCCTCAGCCGTTTCCAGCAGGCAGCCCTCAAGGTTCCATCAGCCTTTCGATGAATTTATGACCTGCTGGGATCAGCCTCGGCAGAGCTTAAAGCTGGAGCGAAGACTGCCTGTTCACCAGCACCTGTGGGAAATCCTCTCTCCCGGTTTTAAAAAGAAGATGCTATAGCTTATAGAGCATTCTCGTTTTCCCAGCCTAAATCCATTTTAAGTGAAAATGCAGTTATGGAAATACCTTCCCAACATTTAAAACTGCATTTGAGTGAAAAAGAATCAGCGGTTGGCTGGGAAAGGTCTGCTCTCACGTCACGGGGTACACGTGGCTGGAAGGCAGGTGAGGCCACAGGGCTGAGGTGGGCGGTGGAGGCGGGTCCGAGTGTCACTTAACCTTCAGGCAGTTGGGGGCCGAGGTCAATCCGATGCTTTTATTTTTCAGAAACATTCCATAAGCTGTTTTCAGACTCAGTTTATTTAAAAGCCATCGTAGAATTGTAACAGAAAAGGACAAACAAACAAAACCCCAAGCAGAGACCAGTAGGAATGAGATAGAGGAAGCACTTAGATCCCAGGTTTAGGGAAACGGCAGCCTCGGGGTGCAGGCCGGCCCGGCTCCGGGGCCTGGGTGTGGTGTGAGCGGTTTTCTCGGATTTCCCGGGAACACAGAGCTCAAGGTCTCTGGGTGGAAACAGGTGCCTTCTCTCGGGAGCTCAGTCCTGGTGGGCTGGGCGTGGAGCCGGAGGGGGCCACCGGGAGCTCGGGGGCGGGGGCGGGGGGTGAGGTGTGTGGAGGTTGCTGGGATGAGGAGAGGGTGGGGGAGGGGAGGGAGGCGGTCTGGTCTGGCCGACTGGAAGCGTGCTTGTCGGGGTGAGGAGACAGGATGCCGGGCGGCCGGTGGGTGTGATGGGATCTCCCGGGTTCACTCCCAGATCCTTCCAGAGCCCGGTGCCTGGCTCTGCCGAGGCACTCACCCCGGGAGCCTCAGTCCTGCGGGTGGGAAGAGCAGGTCCCTCCGTCACACGGGGCCTGGAGCAGCAGCCGCCAGCCGTGCCGAGAAGCCCGTCCGGGGCGTGTTCGCTGAGCACAGCCCGTTCCCCACGCGAGCCGGACCGACCACACGCAGACGTCTTCGCAGGGACCGGTCACCGCCGTCCTGGAACACGCTTTCCACGGAACACGCACCACGTGTGTCCCGTAAGGTGACCAGACGTCCCGCTTTTGGCGGGACAGTCCCGATTTTTAACAATTTATCCCGCTGCGTTTTAAAACAGTCCCGATTTTTGAAACTGTTTTAAAATGCCGAGGGACAAATTGTTAAAAATTGGGGCGTCTGGTCACTTTCGTGTCCCTCGGTATCTGTGCCCGGGATGGGCCGCGTCCCCGGTGGGAGACTGAGCCTGCGATCAAACCGAGTTAGGTGGCCAGTCAGAGCCCTCGGGGCTCTCGTCACCGTGTGTGTCACAAGAACAAGGCGGTGGACGGCGTTGTCCCCGTGCACGTCCTCCTGCCGGCCTGGAGGGCAGGCGGGCCGCTGACGGTCCCCTCGCTGCGAGGTCTCGTTTGTGTGGGGCGTCGCCGTCGTACGCGGGCGATCCACACGCGCCCGCCTCACCGTGCCTCCGTTTCCCTCGGAGAACGCCATGATGACGTTTGAGGAGGAGAAGATGCAGCTGGCGTGCGAGGACCTGCGGACGACGGAGCGGCTGTGTGAGAGCGAGGAGGCGGGCGTGATTGAGACCCTCAGGAACAAGATCAGGAAGAGCGTGAGTGCGGCCCTTCGCCGGCCCAGGGTTCAGTGTTTGCCAAACGTGTTCCTTGTTTTGTTTTTGTTTTTTCTTTTCCCCCTTTATTGGCTAAGGTGTGCTTCTCCCCTCATGCCCCCCCAGCCTCCAGTCCTGCCCTCAACCTCCCCCCACCGTTGTCTGCGTCCATTGGTTATGCTTCTATGCATGCATACAAGTCCTTTGGCTGATGTTTGTTTTGTGAGTTGTTTTTTCCCCCCAGGAATTTTCCCATTGATTTTTAGAGAGAGTGGAAGGAAAGGGGAAGAGAGAGAGAGAGAGAGACATTGATGAGAGAGACATCAGTGGTTTTATTTTGGGGAAGTAGGAACGTGTGTAGTTTTGTAAACGGTGACCCCCCCTCAGTTCTGTGCCGGCTTTCCTGTCCCCGTGAGCTCGGGTTTATCATTAGGAGACTTGTCTTTGGGTTGGGGTCTCAGCTGGTGGTGAGGAGCAGCTGAGCAGCGGGCGGGGGAGGAGCGGCTGGCTGGGGAGGAGCGGGGGAGAGGAGGGCAGGCAGGGGCAGGAGCGGCCTGCGGGTGTGTGTGTGTGTGTGTGTGTGTGTGTGTGACACGGTCTCGGCGCCTCGTGGCGGCCCTGTCTCAGCGCCGGGGCTGGTGGAGCGAGAGGCGTGCTCCGTGGAGACTCACCGTGTGCTGTGCCTCCCCCGCAGGCGGACGCCCGGAGGTCGGCGCCCTCCGTGGTGGACCGGCTGCAGCGGCAGATCATCGTGGCCGACTGCCAGGTGTACCTGGCCGTGCTGGCCTTCGTCAAGCAGGAGCTCTCAGGTACGGCCGCGGGCGGCGTCCGGGCCGCGGGCGCACAGCCGGGAAGCCTCTTTTCTTAGAGCGGCTCCAGTGTCAGCCGTGGAAAGGAGGTGGCCCGGCCCTGTCCGGTGTGGCTCGGTGGATAGAGCGCCAGCCTGTGGACAAAGGGTCCCGGATTCGATTCTGGTCCCTGTCTCCCTGTCTTAGTTGCAGGTGCCTCCCCGGCCTGGGCCCTGGTCAGGCGTGTGCAGGAGACAACCATTGGTGTGTCTCACTCACGTCGATATTTCTCTCTGTCTTCCCCTCTCCCTTCCTGGGTCTAAAAATCGGTGGGGAAAATGAATAAATAAATAGATAGATAGATAGATAGATAGATAGATAAAATAAAAATAAAAGTCGGTGGGGACGTCCTCGGGAAGATTAACAGAAGGAGAGGAGGAAGCCCGTGGCAGCTTGGGCGTGATGCCAGGTTATTCCTCGGGAAACTGCCTCGTGGTTCTGCGTTGTGTTCTGTGGGCCTGGTTCAGAGCTCTTGCTGATCAGTCCCTGAGTGTGGGCTGTGGGTGAGCGGTGACAGCGACGAGGGTGACGTCACCATCACCCCACGCTTCACCAAGATTCTAGTTCTGAGGCTTTCTCCCCACTTGTCCCATGTCCCCATGGGGGTTGTGCAGGAGGCAGCTGTCAGTGATTCTCTCTCATCGTTCATGTTTCCATCTCTTTCTCCTTCTCCCTTCCTCTCTGAAATCAATCTCCCATCTAATAAAGAGGAAGCATTCAAATTGACTGTCCAACACACAAGATGGCCACCGCAAATGGCCGGCAAGGGAGGGCAGTTGGGAGCAGTCAGGCTGGCAGGGGAAGGCAGTTGAGGAGGGACCAGACTGGCAGGGGGGTGGATAGGGGATGATCAGGCTGGCAGGGGGGCGGTTAGGGGGTGATCAGGCTGGCAGGGGAGTGGTTAGGGGTGATCAGGCTGGCAGGGGAGTGGTTAGGGGTGATCAGGCTGGCAGGGGGGCGGTTAGGGGTGATCAGGCTGGCAGGGGAGTGGTTAGGGGTGATCAGGCTGGCAGGGGGGCGGTTAGGGGTGATCAGGCTGGCAGGGGGGCGGTTAGGGGGTGATCAGGCTGGCAGGGGAGTGGTTAGGGGTGATCAGGGGCGGCTTAGGGGGCCGGTTAGGGGTGATCAGGCTGGCAGGGGGGCGGTTAGGGGTGATCAGGCTGGCAGGGGAGTGGTTAGGGGTGATCAGGCTGGCAGGGGGGCGGTTAGGGGTGATCAGGCTGGCAGGGGAGTGGTTAGGGGGTGATCAGGCTGGCAGGGGGGCGGTTAGGGGTGATCAGGCTGGCAGGGGAGCGGTTAGGGGTGATCAGGCCCACTGTGGCCGGGGCGGGAACAGGCCGTGCAGCTCACTGTCTTCTCTCCCCGCCCAGCGTACATCAAAGGCGGCTGGATCCTCAGGAAAGCCTGGAAGATCTACAACAAGTGCTACCTGGACATCAACGCGCTGCAGGAGCTGCACCAGCGGCGGCCGGCGGGGCCGCGCTCGCCCGCCGACGCCGCCAACCACAACCACAGCGCGGCAGCGGCCGAGGAGGGGGTGTCGGAGGAGACGCTGAGCCGGCTTCGCGGCGCCGTGAGCTTCGGATACGGCCTGTTCCACCTTTGCATCTCCATGGTGCCCCCCAACCTGCTCAAAGTCATCAACCTGCTGGGGTTCCCCGGAGACCGCCACCAGGGGCTGTCCTCTCTCATGTATGCGAGCGAAAGTAAGGACATGAAGGCCCCTTTAGCTACGTGAGTAGCTGTGTTCACTGCTTCATAGATAACGTAGTGTTGAGTGAGGGGCCGCAGTCGGCCTGGGAGAGAAGCGGCAGGTAAAGCGGGTTTGGCGGACGTGAGGCTGTGTCTTTTTTTTAATGTTTTTATTGACTTCAGAGAGGAAAGGAGAGGGGGAGAGAAACATCCATGGTGAGGAGATAGGGATCAGCTGCCTCCTGCAGGCCCCACCTCGGGCCTGTGCCCTGGCCGGGAATCAGACGGTGACCTCCGGCTCCCAGGTCTGGCTCAGCCGCTGAGCCTCGGCCAGCCGGGCGGAGCTCACATCTTCCAGCGCCAGGCCGATGCGTGGTTTCGGGGTTTGTAGTCTCGCAGATGAGGGTTGTGTGTAGACAGGGAAACCATCCTATTTCCTGGTCTTGAACGAGGGGTGAGCCATGCTGGTGACCTTGGCCACAGTCACCGACATCCCAATTCTGATTTTTTTTTTTTTATATATATACTTTTTAATTTTTAAAATCTATTTTATTGATTTTTACAGAGAGGAAGGGAGAGGGATAGAAAGTTAGAAACATCGATGAGAGAGGAACATCAATCAGCTGCCTCCTGCACACCCCCCGCCGGGGATGTGCCCACAACCAAGGCACATGCCCTTGACCGGAATCGAACCTGGGACCCTTGAGTCTGCAGGCCGATGCTCTATGCACTGAGGCACTCCGGTCAGGGCCCAATCCTGGTTTTCAGGTTTAAAGGATAAACGTCGATAAGACATTTCTATGGTGAATTTTTGTTCTCTGTCCTCGTCTGGGTACCTTCCCTGAGGACTCTGGTCCCTCGGTCTCAGGTGTGGCTTTGGCTACTTTGCACGAACTGAAACCGAGTCACAGGGCCGTCAGTCTCAGCGTGAGTGGCAATGCCTTAACCACGAGAGTGCTGGTCAGAGCAGGAACCCCTCGTTCCTCCGTCTGTGAAAAATGGTGTGATGTGTCTCTCTCCCCCCCAGTTTGGTAAATCCCTGCCATTTGAGATTTGAATGCTTTTACCAGGCATTAGATGTGCTTGGGTGTCACACCACTTGTCGGGATTTTCCCGGTAATGTTGACATCACAGGGAGCCTTTGAGAGCTCGGTTTCTGCTCTCGTCAGAATGGCGGCATTTGGATATTTACTCTTAATGTGTGGTGGCTGTTAAAGAGATCGTTAACTTTCTTACTGTTTTGATTGATTGATTTCAGAGAGGAAGGAAGAGAGAAACATCAATGATGAGAGAGAATCACGGACCGGCTGCCTCCTGCATGTCCCCCCACACTGGGGAGGGAGCCCGCAACTGAGCACGTGCCCTTGACTGTACTTGAACTCGGGTCCCTTCTGTCTGCAGGCCAACACTCTTTCCACTGAGCTGAACTGGCTAGGGCGAGATAGTCAATTTTTCATTTCAAAAACGTTTTGTGGGCCACCCCCTCAACTCATTCCATGACACAAACCGTGGTCCTCCGTTAACTTGACTTAGCAGGTTTGAAACTTGGGATAATCATTGACGAGCTGCCTCTTGCACACCCCCTACTGGGGATGTGCCCGCCACCAAGGTACATGCCGAACCCAGGACTTTTCAGTCCGCAGACCAACGCTCTATCCACTGAGCCACACCGGTTTTGGCCACTTTGTCGTTTTTAAATGGAGCCTCTTCGAGGCCTAAGCAAGGCCTGCATCGGCTGCTCTCGTTTATGTAAGGTTTTATATAAAGTTTTGTATAAAGTGTGGCTTTGCCTGTGGCTCCTGCACCTGAACCCTGACTCTGACCCGCCCCAGTTGTGAGCACGGCGGAAAGCAATGTGCTCCTTCTGTGAACAGGGCCGCCTTCCTCGGGGGACAGGACATCGGCCCTGGGCCTGCCTTTGTGCCCGTCGAGTGGGGCGCCTCGGAGGCTGCAGCCGCCCGCATCTGTCCTGGTCTCCCCGGGTGCGGGCTGGTCTGCGTGAAGCTGCCGCTTTCCAAAAGCTGATACGGGCAGCTGCTCTGACGATTTAGGGAGTTTGGGGGAGCGGGGGTACCTGGGAGCGCACACGTGTGCTGTGTTTGGGGACGAAGCCCTGGGAGCCGGGCTCAGCATCCCCATCCCCCAGGCTGGCGCTGCTCTGAGGACGCAGAGGGTGGAGGTGGGGGGGGGGTGTGTGCCGTGTTTGAGAATGGAACCGGGGGAAGCCGGCTCAGCATCTCCCCCCCCCCCCCCCCCCCCCCCCGCAGACTGGCGCTGCTCTGAGGATGCAGGGGGTGAGGTGAGGGTGGGGGTGGGGGGGGGGGCGGGGGTGGGGGGGGGGGGGGACGGAGCCAGGGGAGCCGGGGTCCGGGCTCAGCATCCCCCCCCGCAGGCTGGCGCTGCTCTGAGGATGCAGGGGGTGGTGGTGAGGGAGGGGTGGAGGGGGGTGGGGTGCGGGTGCCGTGTTTGGGAATGGAGCCCCTGGGGTCCGGGCTCAGCATTCCCCCCCCCCCCCCCCCCGCAGGCTGGTGCTGCTCTGAGGTTGCCGGGGGTGGGGGGGGGTGGGATGGGGGAGTGGGGGGTGGGGATGGGGGTGTGGACGGAGCCAGGGGAGCCGGGGTCCGGGCTCAGCATCCCCCCCCCCCCCCCCCCGCAGGCTGGCGCTGCTCTGAGGGTGCAGGGGGGGGGGGGTGATGGATGGGGTGTGGGGGAGTGGGGGTGGGGTGGGGGTGGGCGGAGCCAGGGGAGCCGGGGTCCGGGCTCAGCATCCCCCCCCCGCAGGCTGGCGCTGCTCTGGTACCACACGGTGGTGCGCCCCTTCTTCGCGCTGGACGGCAGCGACCACCGGGCGGGCCTGGCGGAGGCCAAGGAGATCCTGCGCCGGAAGGAGGCGGCGTACCCCAACTCCTCGCTCTTCCTCTTCTTCAAGGGCCGCGTGCAGCGGCTGGAGGTGCGTGCCCTGTGGTCGGTACAGCCGCCCGGGACCCGCCGGATGGCCTCTCCGTGGGCGGGGGCTGCTGGGAGCGGGGGGGGGGGGGGGGGAAGGGGGGGGCTGCTGGGAGCGGGGGGGGGGGCTGGGGGAGCGGGGAGGAGACTGGGGGGAGCGGGGGCTGCTGGGAGCGGGGAGGGGGGCCTGCCTAGGGGGGGGGGCCTGCGCGGGGGGGGGGCTGCTGGGAGGGGGGGCTGCTGGGAGCGGGGGGGGCCTGCGCGGGGGGGGGGCTGCTGGGAGGGGGGGCTGCTGGGAGCGGGGGGGGCCTGCGCGGGGGGGGGGCTGCTGGGAGGGGGGGCTGCTGGGAGCGGGGGGGCCTGCGCGGGGGGGGGGGCTGCTGGGAGCGGGGGGGGGCTGCTGGAGGGGGGGGCCGCTGGGAGCGGGGGGGGGGCCGCTGGGAGCGGGGGGGGGGCCCGCTGGGGGGGGGGGGCCGCTGGGAGGGGGGGGCCGCTGGGAGCGGGGGCCCGCTGGGAGGGGGGGGGGCCGCTGGGAACGGGGGGGGCCGCTGGGAGGTGGGGGGGCCGCTGGGAGGTGGGGGGTGCTGGGAGTGGGCGGGGCGCTGGGTCTCTCCGATGGAGTCGCAGGCACGCGGTCTCCGTGCGGGGACTGGCCGGCGCTGAGACGTCCTGGAGGCTCAGTGGTTTTACACGAGGTGCTGCCCCCCGTCACGGCGGCTCCAGCGCTGGAGTCCTCCCGCCTCGTGTTTTCCGTGCTCCCCCGCACTCAGGGCGAGTCTGTGTCTAAAAGCCAAACTGGGAGACAAGTGTCAGGTTGCGGATGACCCTTTCTCTGCCGAGTCGTGGGTATTTTATTAAAAACTCCCACCGGCCATTTTTAACAGTATATTCTTACTGACTTTAGGGGGGAGGGGGAAGGGAGCGGGAGGGAGGGAGAGAAACATCCATGGAGAGAGGATCACTGATCGACTGCCTCCTGCACGCCCCACACGGGATCCATCCCACAACCCGGGCCTGTGCCTGACCGGGAGCCGGACCCGGCCTCCTGGTTCATAGGTGCATGCTCGTCCCCGAGCCACACGGCCGGGCTTCCCGGAGCCTTGGAATCGCTCTGTCCGTGCGCTCGGCCGGGTTTGGTGGCTGCTGGGACACGTGTGGAGTGATGCGCGTGTAGCGATCACAGGCGTCCGCGGTGACCCGTCCTCTCCCCCCTCAGTGCCAGATCAACAGCGCCCTGGCCTCCTTCCACGCGGCCCTGGAGCTGGCCGTGGACCAGCGGGAGATCCAGCACGTCTGCCTCTACGAGATCGGTGAGTGCGGGCCTGTGCGGCCAGGCTGTGGGCACACGGAGCCGGCAACTGCCCCGAGCCTGCCCTCTCTCCCCAGGGGGTGCAGGGCGATGGAGCTGCCCCGAGCCTGCCCTCCCCCAGGGGGTGCAGGGCGATGGAGCTGCCCCGAGCCTGCCCTCTCTCCCCAGGAGGTGCAGGGCGATGGAGCTGCCCCGAGCCTGCCCTCTCTCCCCAGGGGGTGCAGGGCGATGGAGCTGCCCCGAGCCTGCCCTCTCTCCCCAGGAGGTGCAGGGCGATGGAGCTGCCCTGAGCCTGCCCTCTGTCCCCCAGGGGGTGCAGGGCGATGGAGCTGCCCCGAACCTGCCCTCTCCCCAGGGGGTGCAGGGCGATGGAGCTGCCCCGAGCCTGCCCTCTCTCCCCAGGGGGTGCAGGGCGATGGAGCTGCCCCGAGCCTGCCCTCTCTCCCCAGGGGGTGCAGGGCGATGGAGCTGCCCCGAGCCTGCCCCCTCTCCCCAGGGGGTGCAGGGCGATGGAGCTGCCCCGAGCCTGCCCCCTCTCCCCAGGGGGTGCAGGGCGATGGAGCTGCCCCGAGCCTGCCCTCTCCCCCAGGGGGTGCAGGGCGATGGAGCTGCCCCGAGCCTGCCCTCTCCCCCAGGGGGTGCAGGGCGATGGAGCTGCCCCGAGCCTGCCCTCTCTCCCCAGGGGGTGCAGGGCGATGGAGCTGCCCTGAGCCTGCCCTCTCCCCCCAGGGGGTGCAGGGCGATGGAGCTGCCCCGAGCCTGCCCCCTCTCCCCAGGGGGTGCAGGGCGATGGAGCTGCCCCGAGCCTGCCCTCCCCAGGGGGTGCAGGGCGATGGAGCTGCCCTCTCCCTGGCTGGTTCAGGGCGATCAGCTGAACAGCCTGCCCTCTCTCCCCAGGGGGTGCAGGGCGATGGAGCTGCCCCGAGCCTGCCCTCCCCAGGGGGTGCAGGGCGATGGAGCTGCCCCGAGCCTGCCCTCTCCCCCCCAGGGGGTGCAGGCGATGGAGCTGCCCCGAGCCTGCCCTCCCCAGGGGGTGCAGGGCGATGGAGCTGCCCTCTCCCTGGCTGGTTCAGGGCGATCAGCTGAACAGCCTGCCCTCTCTCCCCAGGCTGGTGCAGCATGATCGAGCTCAACTTCCAGGACGCGTTCGGCTCCTTCGAGCGGCTGAAGAATGAGTCCCGGTGGTCGCAGTGCTACTACGCCTACCTGACCGCCGGTGAGTGCCTGCCGAGCACACTGTCCGCACGGCCCTCCCTGTGGCAGACACGCCTGTCACTTCTGGAAGGACCAGGCTCTGAGGAGAGAGAGACATGATAGGTAGATAGATAGATAGATAGATAGATGATAGGTAGGTAGATCGATCGATCGATAGATAGATAGATAGATAGATGGATGGATGCTAGGTAGGTATATATAATAGATAGATAGTTAATAGATAGATAGGCCTGAGGAGATAGATGATATTTAGATAGATAAGTAGGTAGGTAGGTAGGTAGGTAGATAGATAGATAGAGACGTGCTGCCCCCTGGTGGAGCCGCCTGGGAACAGCCGTTAGAGCGTGGCCTGAATTGTCTGCGCCCCTTGGTTGGCTGGTTTGGGAACATTTCCAGTGCCCCGGGCGGGCCTGGGCCACGCGAGAGGCACTTCCCGCGACACGTGAGCAGTAGCCGTGGTCTCTCAGTCTGCCAGGGGGCCACCGGCGACGCGGACGGCGCCCAGGCCGTCTTCAAGGAGGTGCCGCGGCTCTTCAAGAGGAAGAACAACCAGATCGAGCAGTTCTCCGTGAAGAAGGTGCGTGCCTGCGGACGGGCGCGGGGGCATGGAGGCCACATCCCCTCTCGCTCCTGGGGCGTCAGACCGACAGCGGGCACCCTCCCTGCCCACCCGCGCGGCTCCCCCGAGGGTTCGGGGCGAGGCTGGACACCGGCTCTGGGCGCGGGCGTGGGGGCGGCGGTCACCGCAGGCGGAGGGTCTGAGGGAGGAGACCTCGCCGACCTGCAGAGCCACGGGCACACCGCGGGGACAGCGTCGTCCAGCGCCGGTTCTCAGGATGGCGAGCACATCACATCCTCGAGGGAAAAATACTTTTTAATCGACCTCAGAGAGTACGGAAAAGAGGGGGAGAGAGGGAAACGTCAGAAATGAGAGAGAGTCATCCATCGGCTGCCTCCTGCACCCTGGGGATCGAGCCTGCGGCCTGGGCCTGGGCCCTGGCTGGGAATGGAGCCCTGCCCTCCTGGTTCATAGGTCGGCGCTGCTCACTGAGCCACACGGGCCGGGCCAGATCGCATTTCGACCTGATTTTTAAAAATTTTGCACATCCTGTGTACGACAGAAAGGCCCGGGACTGCGGGAACAGCACCCCTAATGTACCCAAGTCTTAGAGTTAAGGTTCAGCTGAATGGCTGAGGGCCCATGACTCCTGGCCACAACCTGAGTGTCCCACGGTTTTCATCTCGAGTTTCTGTTGAATGAGCGTCCAGTGACTTGGTTTGAGGACAAACTAGGCCCGTGGTCGGCAAACTCATTAGTCAACTGAGCCAAATATCAACAGCACAACGACTGAAATTCTTTTGAGAGCCAAAAACCGAATTCTGTGCATGGGCCACGAAGTTTCAGTCGCACTGTACGTGCTCGCGTGTGGTAATTTTTTTAAAATATATTTTATTGATTTTTTACAGAGAGGAAGGGAGAGGGATAGATAGAAACATCGATGAGAAAGAAACACCGATCAGCTGCCTCCTGCACACCCCCCACTGAGGATGTGCCCGCCACCGAGGTACATGCCCTTGACCTGAATTGAACCTGAGACCTTTCAGTCCGCAGGCCGACGCTCTATCCACTGAGCCAGCCCGGTTAGGGCCACACGTGGTATTTTGTGGGAGAGCCACGCTCACGGGGCCAAAGAGCCTCATGTGGCTCCCGAGCCGCGGTTTGCCGACCACAGGACTAGACTACAGTGTGCCAGGCCCGAGAGCCCCGCTCGGTAGGAAATGAGAAATTCCACAGGCGTCACCAGCCGGCTCCCCGGCTCCCTCCTCAGGTCCGGACGCCCCTCTCACCGGCACGGCACCGAATTGAGTTTCGTCCCCGGGGTCCCTCCCGAGTCACGGCCACGGAGTGAGGTGACAGCGGCCGAGGCACCTCTGCCCGCAGCCCGGAGACTGAGAGCGAGCGCTTCTCACAGACGCACTTGCCGCGCAGCCGGAGGTGGCAGGCTCCCAGGGGTCCGAACGGACCCTGTGACTGTCCCCACGGCGGTCACGGCCTCTGAGTGTGTTTGGAGAAGGCGTGGCTAATGGTGCTGACTCCCCGCAGGCCGAGCGGTTCCGGAAGCAGAGGCCCACCAGGGCGCTGTGCGTGCTGGCCTCCGTGGAGGTGCTGTACCTCTGGAAAGCCCTGCCCAACTGCTCCGCCCCCAGCCTGCAGCGGATGAGCCAAGGTAAAAACACACAACAAAAACCAGCCAGCCAGCCCGCCCGCAGCCTGGCTCCGGCGGGGAGTCCACCGTGCGATTCCCGGTCCGGGCACAGCCGGGGTTCTGGGTTCGATCCCCAGTGCCGAGGGTGCAGGAGGTGGCCGATCCATGATTCTCTGTCATCATGAGTGTTTCTCTCCTCTCCCTTTCTCTCTCTAAAAAAAATCCATAAAAACATTAAAGACAAAACAAAATAAAAAAAACACCCTTGCCGGTTTGGCTCAGTGGATAGAGTGTCAGCCCATGGACGGCAGGGTCCCGGGTTCGATTCAATTACAGGCTCGACCCCTGGCCCTGATCTGGGCAGGGCTTCCTGTTTGAGATTCGAGAGACTGTGTGGCTCCCCTCTCCCTCCCCCAGGAAACCCCCCATTCTTCTCTCCCCCCCCCCCCATGAGCCCACACCAAAGCGGCCCTGTCACCCCATGTATGTGAGATCCACGCTTGGTGCCGTGCACTGTGTGGGTTAGACACGCGTGTGATGGCGAGCATCCACGCTCACGGGTGCTATCGTGAACAGTCACGGCCCTCGGATCCCCCGAGTTCCCTCCCCCGGACCTGTGGATGCCCCTGGCCGGGGTCCTGCCCTCATGGGAGCCTTTCCAGGTCACGCAGTCGGGGTCACAGACCCGTGGCCTTCCGTGTCTCCTTCCGTGTAGTTCAAAGCAGCGTGTCGCCTCCCTGGCCCTGGGGTTTGTGCCTCTGCGTCTCTGAGGATCGTTGCTACACTGTGGGAGAGGGGACCCTCAGAGGGGGGTGTTTTTCTGTTCCTCACCCGGAGGACATGTTCCCATTGATTTTGGGAGAGGGAGAGACGGAGAGAATCATGGCTGTGAGACAGACACATCGACGGGCTGCCTCCTGCACGCGCCCCGACCAGGCCCGGCCGGGAGGAGCCTGCATCTGAGATCCGTGCCCTTGACCGGAATCGAACCCGGGACCTTTCGGTCCCTAGGCCGACGCTCAGTCCACTGAGCCGCACTGTCTCGGCCCCTCTGTTCTGGGCGGAGCTGTGCACGGGGCGTGCGGACCATCGAGGGCACTCTGGGCGGTGGTGGGCGCTGAGGGGTGTCCCTCTGCCTCCGCAGCCTGCCACGAGGTGGACGACGCGGCGGCCGTGGGGCTGAAGCTCCTGCTGCTCGGGGCCATCCACAAGTGTCTGGGCAACGCCGAGGACGCCGCCCAGGTACGGGCCGGGTGGGAGAGGGGGGTGGGGAGGGGAGAGGCACACGCACCCACCACGCCCGCCTCTGCCGTGGGCACCAGGGTTAGTGCAGCCCGGTTCCCGCACGCTCTGTACACGCGACTCCTCCGCCCACGCCGACACGCGAGGGGCCGCCCGCAGGCCCGGTGACGTGTGTCTCGCTCTCAGTTCTTCCAGCGCGCGGCCAGGGACGAGCTGTGTCGTCAGAACAACCTGTACATCCAGCCGTACGCGCTGTACGAGCTGGGCTGCCTCCTGCTGGACAGGCCGGAGGTGAGAGCGCGCGTCCTACGTCACAGCGGGCGGTGGGCCCGCGGCCGCCTTCGTTCGCGGAAAATGGATGGATGGGGGGTTGGGGGCGCTGCTTGTGTGTCTTTCCCACGCAGTGAGTCCAGGAGTTCTATCTGTTGAGGAGATCACGTCTTCTCTGGAATGAGATTTTGGGGCAAAACCTTAGTGAGGGGGACCCTGGCCGTTCCGGGAAGGCGTGTGGGCGGAGGCAGAGCTCATGCAGAGGAGCAGGGTCCGTGAGGATTCTCTGCGTCCGCCTCCTGTGTGCCTGGCCCGGCCCCTCAGCCAGAACCTTCCTCGTCTGTGAGTCGGGATGGAAAAGGACCTGCCTTGCCAATCTCATAGTGATGGTGGCGAGAGGAAGTGCGGACGCGCGGACGGTCACTTTAAGAACGTCAGAACGCCGTCTGTTAGCGCGGTAATTCCCGTGGCGACGTGTGGACGGCACGGGCAGGTTTCTTTGGAAAACAGGATTTCGGTGGCACCGGGCCTGCCTGCTGCCGGCCTTTGGGAGCTCGGTGGCGTCATATTGGTGTGAGGAGGGTGAATTAGCGAAATCCTGGCTTTTAGCAAGTTTCCCTCGGTTTCCAAATACGTGGGTTTCCGAAAGTTGAGTTATAAATCCCGGGAATCTGATGGTAGCATGTCCTTAAACCTGTAATGAGGGATAACTCACCGACTTCAAATAAGCTTTCCCCAGGTGTGAGCTCTTAGGGAGACCCTAACCTGGGCCGTTACGATGCTTCGGAGTTGTTTTTGTTTATGGGATGACAGTGAAGGCTGTGGGAACGGTTTATGGGGTAACGTCTCGATGTACACTTTTTGACATTGTTGGAGTCTGCACGGAATGAGTATCTGACTCCCCTCGGTGGCAGAATTGTCTGAATTAGTGTATCCCACGGGTCAGCAAACGGCGGCTCAGGAGCCACGTGCGGCTCTTTGGCCCCGTGAGTGTGGCTCTTCCACAAAATACCACGTGCGGGCACTCAGTACAGTGCGATTGAAACTCCGTGGCCTGTGCGCAGCAGTCTGTTGTGAACAAGTGGTGTTAGAACACTCGGGCCAAAGAGCCGCGTGTGGCTCGAGAGCCGCAGGTTGCGGACCGCTGGGATATCCTCCTGCTTTGACCTTTTCTGCTGGGGGAAGCGGAGTGTGAGGAGATGTGTGTGTTTTTCCTTCGCAGACGGTGGCGAGAGGCCGAGCACTGCTGCTTCAGGCGAAGGTAAGCGCCCGAGCTTCCCGCCGGGGCCTGCCCTCCGCCGGGGACACTGAGCCCCGGAGGTTTGGGGACGTGACTGTCCGGTGGGTGTTCCTGGGAAGGGAAATGGCGAAGGTGAACCAGCCAGCCCTGGAGCTCCGAGTCATAGACACTCCTGCGAGCGCTCACCTGCGTTATAAACCCTCCTTTCTGTGAGTGGGGAAGGGACTTGGTATTTCATCACCACGTTCCCAAATAAAGGATTTCCCACCACCGCTTACACGGAGCTTACACAAGCAAAACACCAGAGACGCAGTCATGATGAGCCATTAGCATTCTTTTTTTTTTTTTTTTTAATATATATATTTTATTGATTTTTTTATAGAGAGGAAGAGAGAGGGAGAGAGTTAGAAACATCCATGAGAGAGAATCGTGGATCAGCTGCCTCTTGCACACCCCTTACCGGGGATGTGCCCTCAACCAAGGTGCATGCCCTTGACTGGAATCGAACCTGGGACCTTTCAGTCTGCAGGCGACGCTCTATCCACGGAGCCAAACCAGTTTCAGCAACCATTAGCATTCTTAAAAAAGGCATACCCTGGCCAGTATGGCTCCGTGGACAGAGCGTTGGCCTGTGGACTGAAAGGTCCCAGGGTTGATTCCCTGTCAGGGCCTGTGCCCGGGTTGCAGGCTCGGTACCCCGTGGGGGGCGTGCAGGAGGAGCCGATGCATGCCTCTCCTCATCAATGTTCTTATCTCACCCTCTCCCTTCCTCTCTGAGATCAATCAAAGAATATTTTTAAAAATCGGAAAGCTCAGCGATTGGGAAATCAGACCAGTGGGTGCAGAGCCCTCAGAGGGAGGGGGGGTCCCGGGCCGGACAGACCTTGGTTTGCCCCGCGGTGCGGGCTCGTCCCGCCCTCAGCCCTCGCCTGCTCTTCCAGGAGGACTTCTCCGGCTACGACTTCGAGAACAGGCTGCACGTGCGCATCCACGCGGCGCTGGCCTCGCTGCGGGAGCTGGTCCCCCAGTGACGGGCCCCGCCGGCCGCCGGGCTCTGCCCGGAGCTGGGAGCAGAGGACGCTGCCATCGAGGACGGCTTCCTCCGGCCCCGCGCAGGGACACTCCCCCGGTCCCCGGAGGGGAGGAGCTCGGAGGAACCGTCACCCGGGAGGGCTCAGTGGCCTTGTTCGGACACTTTAGTTTTGTGATTTATTATTTTTAAAATAAAAACCAAGCTGCACATCCAACCTGCAGTCCTGTGGGCACGGCTGCCGCCAGCACACGGCGGGCGGGCGGGGAGTGCCGTGCCGGTTCCTCGGCGACCGGATGGCCGGCACCTGTGTTCTGAAGGAATCGGTGTTCTTCTCGGCCCTCGTGCTGCCCATGGGAGGACCGTGGCACAGACATGCTAACCCCCAGGGCCCCGACCACGACACTCGGGCACAGACGGCGATTGGTGTGCCCCGTTAGCTCTTCCTGTTTCCGCGGGCCCATAGAAGGCCGGTCTCCGGCCAGGACGCGAATGCCCTCACTGTACAGCGCGAGTGGGAGAACTCAGTGTTCCTTGTTTCCCTCATTAAACACCTGCTCTTCCGCTGACGTGCCATCGCCATGTGTATGTCCAGGTCATCCGCAGTGTTTCCGAGGGATGGCGCCATCGGCAGGCTTCGCGGGCGGCCTGGCCGGATGCCCTCCCTGCCCCCTCGCTCAGGGTATTGGATTCGACGGGTTAGGAGTTATTTTAAATCCTTTGTCGCTCATTTTCATGGTCGTTTAACTGCACCTTGGTCCAGTGCTGCACCCCTGTGTTTTGAAGAATCATAATACCTCAGTCCCACCCTAGCCGGTTTGGCTGGCAGACTGAAGGGTCCCGGGTTCAATTCCCGGTCAGGGCACGTGCCCAGGTTGTGGGCTCGATCCGCAGTCGGGCAGGCGGGAGGCAGCCGATCAAGGATTCTCTCTCATCACAGATGCTTCTGTATGTCTCTCCCTTCCTCTCTGAAATCAATAAAAATCTATTTTGAAAGAAATGCCTTAGTCCCTTAAGGGTTTCTGCCATGTGTGTGTGGCTCACGTGGCTCCATCGTAAGGTTGGATTTTTTTAAAGTTTATACTGAGCTGCGTCTGCCATCTTGGGGGGTCATTTATTCACGTGTCCGTTTAGCCGAAGCGTGATCCTATGCAGCGTTCATGCTTTGTGCTGCTTTTCCCAGCACAGCGTGAGCCTTGTGACGGTCGGCAGGTGTAATTACGTAACCAGGCGGAGGAGATGGTCATTCTGGGGAGGCAGTGGGTGTTCTTCCCTGACCTGGGCTCTCACCCTCGTTTCCCCTGCCGAAGGACACGTGATTGGTGTGAGGCCGGAGAGAGAAGGCCGCCCCCCCCTCCAGAGGGCGTGGACGCCTAGCCACGAAGACGCTTTCTGCAGAGAGGGCTCCGAGCCTGGGCATCCCGGCCCCTGGCCCAGCGGGTCTGAAGGGAGGAACGCCCTGGATCTTTACCACGTGGCTCTCGCCGTCCGTTCTCCTCTCGGCTGCTGGGTACCGGCAGACTCCCCAAGGCCCAGCGTTTGGGGACCGCCGATGCATCAGCGTCCCCACTGGCGTTTTCAGCTCAAATGGTGTTGGAATCATTCTGCAGCAGAGATGGAAGACCTGTGCTTAGTAAATTTTTAAAAAATGGTCCCTGCATTGCCGAGACCGGTTTGGCTCAATGGATAGAGCGTCGGCTTGGGGACTGAAGGGTCTTGGGTTCGATTCCGGTCAAGGGCATGTACGTTGGTTGCGGGCATACCACCAGTAGGGGGTGTGCAAGAGGCAACTGATCGATGACTCTCGATGTTTCTAACTATCTCCTTCCTCTCTGTACAAAATCAATATAAAAAATAAATAAAATGGTCCCTGCAATAGCTGCTGTAAGAAGCGCTTCTCCAGAGAGAATTCAAGATTTCAGCCAAGTGTGTGTGTGCCATTCACCTCACAAGAGACGGCGTTGCCCCGTCCAGGAGGCTTCCCGTTAGTCGTGAATGCGGGTCTGAGCTCAGGGCAAGCAGCTGGAGGTGCTGGTCTCTCCCCTGGTGTTGGGGCACGGATGGGCTGGGCCGTGACCCAAACCTCTGAATTTGTGCCAGTAATCTGACATACATTCTTGATAGCCTGTAATTAAGTCACTGCCCCTTTCTGAGAAACTGGTCTTGCAAGACCTGTTACCTAAATGCTCCCATCTTACAATGGCCATAAACCATGACACAGCCCCCAGTGGGGTTATAGCGCTGGCACCAGGCCAGGCCCTTAAGTATGGTCTTAACCCCCAACACCTGGGGCTTTTTGCAAAGCTCGAGAAAGGTCCAGAAGTATAATCCAAATTTGGGGGACAAAGGCACCAAAAGGGGGTAAAAGAGGGGCTTCCACCATGTTAGTTTGCTCAGAGTTTGAGAGGCACCTCCTCTGAGTTTGCTGGCATAAAGCTGTGTAACTCCATTTCTCTCAGCGTTGCTTGGTGTTCTATAATTGCCGTATGCTATTTCACGTTTGATTTCTAGTGGTTCTTGTTGCTTTTTTTTTTAATGTATATATTTTTTTTATTTCAGAGAGGAAGAGATAAGGGGAGAGAGAGAGAAACATCAATGCTGAGAGAATCATTGATCATCTGCCTCCTGCACAACCCAGGCCTTGAGCCGGCAACCTGGGCGTGTACCCTGACAGGAATTGAACTGTGACCTCCTGGTTTGTAGGTCACAGTTCAATTTGCTCAACCACTGAGCCACGCTGGCCCAGCTTTGTTGCTTTTTTAAACATTTGAGTATGGATTATGGAGGACGCTTAGCACCTGGGACACTGACACACATGTGAGCCTGAAAGGGTGAATTTATTATTTTTTTAAGTATATTTTATTGATTTCAGAGAAGGGAGAGGGAGAGAGAGAGAAACTTCAATGATGAGAGAGAATCATTGATTGGCTGCTTCCTACAATCCCCCTACTGGGGATTGAGCCTGCAACCCAGGCATGTGCTCTTGGCCAGAATCAAACCTGGGACCTTTCAGTCCGCAGGCTGATGCTCTATCCACTGAGCCAAACCAGCGAGGGCTGAGAGAGCAATTCGATGGGCAGATGCTGCTTTCGTTGGTAACACTGAGTTGCTGCAACGCGTGCTCCCGGACCTGCAGCCTGCAGCTGGGAGGTGTGGGTGGAGAGGATCATGGGGCACAAGGATCAATGACAGAGCGGGAAGCCTAGGGATTGACGCCCAACCTCTCCACGGCCGTGTCTGCAAAGGACCGGGCTGTGCCGCCTCCCGAGCCACTGTGTGAGGCCAGCTGTGTGCAGGGATTGTGACCCGGGCGCGGGGGCGCGAGCCCAGAGCGCCAGCCGCGCGCCTCTCCTCGCTCCGAACCGGCTCCTCGCAGACGCAGACCCAACGCTCCGAGGCGGGCGCGGGCGCCTGCACCCCCTCCCCGCCCGCGGGATTCCAGGCTTTGTCCTTCCCGGCTGCCCATTGGCTGGCGCCGCCAAGGCCCTGCCCCCCGCGGCGTCCCCAGCGCGAGGGCGGGGCTTTGTGACGCAGCCTGACGTCGCCGGGGGTATAAAAGGCCGCCGGGCGCCGCGCCCGGCCAGGAGCCGCCCGCAAGGAGGCGCGGAGGAAGCCGCCCCGCCCCAGCCGAGGAGAAGGTGGGCCTCGCCCGCGGCGGTTGGGCGCCGGCGTCGCGAGGCGGGGCCGGTGGACAGTCCTCCGGCGGCGGGGAGGCCGGCAGCGGAGCGGGAGGCCGGCGGCAGGAGGCCGCTCCGTGCGGGGACCTGCGGGCGCCTCACCAGCGCCCATTCCTGCAGGTCGGGGCGCCGTCCCCTCAGCGCCCGCCTCCCGTCAGCGGGGCCGCCATCCGAGGCCGTTGGGAGCGCGAGGTGCGCGCCGGGCCCGTTTCCGGGGCTGCCGGCCTCCTGCTCCTCGGCCCCGGGCGGCTCCTCACGGGCCCCGGGCGGCTCCTCACGGGCCCCGGGCGGCTCCTCACGGGCCCCGGGCGGCTCCTCACGGGCGGCGGGCGCGGGGCTGGGACAGGCGCCGGGTTTGGGTTAACCCTCACCCACGGGTGTTTTTCGCTGATTTTAGGGAGGAGGGAGCCGCTGGGTTTGACTGGTCTGAGGAGAATTCCCTGTTTTGACTGATTTCTGAGGAGGGAGGAGCCGTCCCTGGTGAGGGTCCCTGAGGCCGCCCGCCGCCCGCGGGGCCTGGATCCGCTCTGCTCGGGCGGGTGCCCCTCCGCCGGCTCCCGGCTCGGCCCTGGGGAGGCGGGGGAGGAAGGGAGGGGGCAGGGCGGCCGGTCCCCCGGGGCGGGGTGCGAACCAAGAGGTCCCTGCGGAGGCATTTGCCCAGCAGTCAGTCAGGTGCCAGCAGCGAACCGTTTTCAGAGGAAGGGTCTTTGTGAGCTTTTAGGAGATACATTTTAATTGATTTTAGAGAGGAGGAGAGAGAGGCAACCGTGATGACGAGAGGACATGGATGGGCTGCCTCCTGGAGGCCCCCGGGGGTCAGGCCCACACCGAGCATGACTGGCCGCTCACCGGGCGCAAAGGGCGGCCCCTCGCAGGACACCTGCTCCGGGGCTGAGCGTCCGCCGGGAGCCAGGAGGTCACGGTCCGGCGGGGGCTCCACCCCGAGGAGGGGCGTGCGGGAGGCAGCCGAGGGTCAATGATTCTCATCGCTCATGCTTCTCTCTCTCCCCTCTCCCCTCCTCTCTGAAATTAACACACATACATTTTTTATAAAACTATCCACATGCACATATAGTAAGTATATATGTATTAAATCATATATATCATTACTGCCTTTGTCCCTAACATGCAGCCTGCTGGCCTGCCAAAGCTACTCTCCTGGCTCGTTTTTTAAAAATATATTTTTATTGATTTCAGAGAGGACGGGAGAGAGAAACAGCATAAGAAGAATCATTGATTATCTGCCTCCTGCACCCTACTGTGGATCAAACCTGCAACCCGGGCCTGTGCCCTTGGCTGGACTGAGTCCCCAGGCCGATGCTCTGTCCACTGTGGCCTGGGCCAGGCGGCATTCTGCTTCCCAGAGCTGGTTTAGTGAAGGAGCTTCTGGTGGTAGGTTTTCATGAGGGGACTCGATACACTTATACGCCTAGACGGGATCAAACCTGCAGCCAGCAGGGGCACCCAGGGTCAGGAAATGAGCTGTTAAACAGCGTTTTGCTCTGAGGTTGGAAGCTTTTGATTAGAGGTCAGCACTAAACTGCCTTGTAAGCCCTGCAACTAGTCACTTCCTGTTTTCGAGGGAAGGGGTGGGGGGGGGGGTTGTCCTGTGGAGGACGCTCCCCCCCCCCCCCCCCCCACACACACACACACGGCTCCAGAATAGCTGGTGTTCTCCTGAGCGCCCTGGTGCTGGGCTGACTGGACACCCTTGTCCTGGCACCCTAACCTGACCTGCCGCTCCATCCTGTTTTCACCCGGACGGATGTCCTTGCGAATTCTGTTCTTTGTGTATGTGTAAGCTTCCTTTAGTGTTCTTTTAGAATGACACAGAGTACGTACACGCTGGCACCACGGGTGGCCACCATGGCGGCTCTGACTGCAGGTTACAGTTGCAGTGCTCGTGGCTCCACATACAATCCAGAAGGTGGGCGAGCAGGAGGAGACCCACCTGGACAGAGGCTGAGGGGGGAGAGAGGGGAGGTGCATGGGCTGGTGGGTGGTGTGATACCACATGTGGCTTACGCCCCTTCTGTTTTAAAAAGGGAAGTTTCTTGTAGAGAAAACCAAGATGGTGGCGTAGGTAAACAACTGGTTTGCCTCTTGCACAATTTAAAAATTAAAACTAATATAAAGGACATCTATCAGATAAAACCACGGGAAGGCTGGCTGAAAGAGAAAGGAGCGCAAGCACT